CGCACGCTTACAGCCGGCCCCCGAGCCGCCCGGGCGCCGGCGAGGAGCCGTCCTGCGCACGGGCTCGGAGAGCGACAGGACTCCCCTGCCCGGGACAGCAGCGCTAAACGCTCGCGTCCTCCTCCCTGGGCTTGGAAAAGCTGCGATTCTCGAGATGCCGGAGGCCCAAACAGCCTCCGGCGGCCCAGGCCTGCCCTCCTTAAACAGAGACGCCTCCGAGCTACCCACCGCCTGCGAGCAGGAGGCGGCAGACGCCAACACGCTATTGTCACAGGACCCACCTCTCTGCACGTCTCTTACTCCAGTCTCTTTTTGGGGTCGGCCTGGCTTTGGGTTTCACTTCTTGCTGACGATCGCTACTCACAGTTGCTCTAGGCACCGTCTCGGTACACGCGCAGCTGGCCGCTTTAAGGTGAGCACCAATTACAGATCGGGGCGAGTGCAGGTGTTGCAGAAGAAATACCTGAGGTTTACTGCTGAGCGGGCACCTCTTGAGAAAAGGACTACCTGGACAGTCTGCTCCTGCTTGCGGCGTATTAGATTTATTAGCAAATCGCTATCTGCAGTCCCATCATTTTCCATATATAAATTTTCCTCAAAGCTATAAAAACTGAAATATAGACTATGGTCAGATTAGCAATCAACTTTAGGGTAAGGGGTTCAGGAGAGAAAAACAAAAAATCACTATGTTTTATATATATTATATTAATACAAAAATTCTGGTGGGGAGGAGGAAGAGGAGGAAAAGGAAGAAGAAAGCGTATAGGCAGGAATCCGATCAGCCTCAACGGCAGCTTTAGGAGATTCTGCACACAGCCAAAGAAAGAAGACAGTCTTTGAGTCAACCACCTCTCAGAGCTCTCCCATCCCCGTCTCATACATTCAGACGATCCCGAGGCAAGAACGCTGAGCGTTTGCGTGTTGGAGGAAGGGGGAGAGGGGGGATTTCTGACAAAGTGCAATGTTCAACCCAAAAAAATATAATCCTCCACGGTTTATTATACATGGGGCACAGCGGGACTCAGTGCACCTAGTGCTGGGGGGCTCCTCCGGCGCCGACGGGTTGTCCCGCGCCAGCCCCTCGCACCGTAATGCCGACTACCCACTTCCTAGCTCGGACACAGCGGAGATGAGGGAGGGAGAGGAGCATCG